TAACTTTGCTAATATTGCTTTATCCTGTTCTGTGTTATCTACTTTTCTTACTTCTCATCTGTCTCAGTTCCATTTTGGATATTTTCTTCTGATCTGCCTTCTAGTTCACCAGTTCTTTATTAAGTCACATTTCTAATTTGCTGTTACACCCATCCACGGCATTCTTAACTGGGATGATTGCATTTTTCAGTTCTAGAATTTCTGTTTTTTTCAACTCTTCTTTGTAATTTTTTTGATTTTCTTTTCTTCAACAAAATTCCCAATTTTTAACTCCTTGAACACTTTATTTTTACTCCTTGATAGTTCTAATATCTGTAGCCTCTGCTTATTTGTTTTTATTGATCATTGTTCTCCTGATTCTCACTCATGATTGTCATTTCCTTGCATACTTGTTTTATCCTGGATTGTGTGACAGATATATTATTTGAGAATTCAGTTTGTCTCTACACATCTAGGATATTATATTTCTTCAGAAAGAATTTTGCTTGTGGTTCCAGGCACCTGAGAGCACTAGCAATCTGGTATCATCTTACCTAGGTACTATTGACATTTCAAGCTGGATAATTATTATGTAGTAGTATCTCAGCCTCTTTCCACTAGATGCTAATAGTACCTTTTCCCAGTTATGATAGAATCTTTCTACTAGATGCCAATAGTACCTCTTCCCAGTTATGATAGAAAATGTTTCCAGATACTGTCAAATGCCTTCTAGCACTTGAGAACCAGTCTTAACCCAAAAGAAGGGGATTTGTTAGGTTTTAAATTTAGTGTGCCCTAATCTCCATTTTTGTCCCCCTAGCACATCAAGGCTGTCCAAGACATAGCCGGCCTCTCACTCATCTCTTTCAGAATCCCCAGGTGGAAAATAATACGCAATACCATGTTTATCTCTCTGGTTTTTTATCTTCTCTCAAGCCTTAGTTCAGCAATTTTCACTTTGTAAAGACTTTTCCAAAGTCTTTCAAGTAAATAAAAAAATATTATTCCTGCTTTTCTAGTTGTCCTCAGTGAAGACTAGATCCAAATTTGACATAAGGATGTATAGGCACACACATTCCTGGAGGACACCCTGCCATATCCTATGACTTACCTACCACCATGGATATAGGAATTCGATCTATACTGCCTACTTCTCACATGGGTTATTCTGGCCCCTGGTAGGGGCTCTTTCTTTCTCTTTGATATGCCAGGGCCCTTTTCACTATGAAAACATTCGTCAAGACAAATGTCTAAAGAACCTATCTTCAGCAATAAACTTCAAAGACCCAAGCTCAAATATGCATATGGGTTGACTGTAAATATTCCCAATCCTTTTTTTGGTGTATTTCCTCCTTGGTATATTGTATGTCTTGAAGATAAGGGTTTATAGTGCTTTTTATAATAGCTGCTCACAGAGAAATCAGGGATTCTAAACCTCATACATGGTACAAACATGTGGAAATTGAAGTGCAGTAAGTACATGTAAATAATACACTGCTCTGGGAGGACTAAAGCTGAAAGAATGTCATCTCTAGAGGGAGAAGGGCCAGAATGACCCCAGTTACCTGAAAACCAGGTAAGAAAGTGACAAAGCTTGGGTGGAGGAGATAGGACAATCCTTTCCTGTTTGTGAAGTCCAAAGGAGACGGTCCCAGGAAAAGCAAGAGTAATACTGATCACTCTCAGGTAGAAGGAAATGATGTTTATTGTTTTTTATTAGGAATTTCTCCACTATTTCTTTTTACCCTTGATAACCTTATGTAATCTGAGATCTTTTTTATCCTCATTTTTAGATGAGGACTCTGAGGCTTAGCATGCTGTGACTTGTTGGAGGTCATCAGGCTAGGAAGCAGCGAGGCTGGTATATGAAACTGGGTGTCACTGTAACACCCATGACTTTGTCCTTATGCTTTGCTGCCCCTGAAGTTCCCGTAGGGTCACGATTTCTCATCCGAGGATGTGAAAATTCAAATGTGTGTTTTAGAAGACGATCTTTCTCTGAGACCATTGAGTCTTAGGTGGGGATCCAGTAAGACAGGCTCTTCCATCAGAAAGTGCCTCTTAGGAGAGGCTCAAGCGTGGCCCCTGGGAGAGCCCTTGCTGGGTCAATGTTCTTTAATCTGTCACACAAAACCAGCAGTAGAAGATAAAGAGCAGGGGTGCCCTGACCTTCTAGGTGAGCTCCCTCTGTCCAGTGCTTAGTCCCAGATTCTTCTACGGGACAAATATCCATAAATACAATAGTTACTCAAACATGGCCGGATCCTTCTGGTCTTTGGAACCAGGCTGGAAGTCTTGGAAGATCTGGCAAAGTACTGGGTGACTTGGTAATTGGTGATGTCTTCTAGGACTTGAAGTATGAGGGAGAGCATTTTCTTTCCTGAAAGATGTTTCTCTTTCCTTCTACTTCTGGTTCTGACCAGTGTAATAAAACTGAGTACAACTGTTCATTTGCGGTTCTTTCACTAACAATGAAATACTCTGCTAATAGGAGGATTTAATTTCAGCAGTAAATAACTTCAAAATGACTCTAAACTAGGTCTTAGTTTGGCTTCAAATTAGGCAATGGACATACCACAGTATTGGTAGAAGGGTCCAGGAAATCCAGCACTACATCATCCAGTTCTGTTCAAATGTTTTTGGATAGGACATTGTTTTACCTTGTCAGATATATTTTCAGACTGATTCATTATAGGGTTACTCCAGAGCAACTACTCAGAGGTAGGTTTGATGGTTGCTGATCTTTGATTCACACTAAATCTCATGTGGCTCTCGCTGATTTCTATCACTTTTTGCCTTGTGTTGTACCCTACTTCATCTCATCTACAGAAAGGAGAAAATTCTCAAGGTTCTGATTAGCTGTTTCTTAAAGGATTCATATACAGCTCCATTTTGTTAGTTTCTTTGGCTTTGACAGAAGTCCTAGGGCTCCAATACTCTTTACTAGATATTTGACAAAAAGTACAGTAAGGTTTGAAAGAGCAGTAATTTATGAAAAAAGAAACATCTTGTTAGAAGGAAAACTTTTTTTTACCATATCTCAAAAATGAATAAGGCCACCCACGTGCTAAAACCTTATAATGTTTGTCTATACATCCTCCTTTCTCCTCAAGCAGCTAATTCTATTTTCTGTGACCGCAGGGACAGAACAGTGGCTGAAAGCATTTGTTTGAGTGTCTGAATTTTGATTTCCCCACTTATCAACTGCATGAGAAAGTTATCAACTTCTCCAAGCATTAGTTTTCTTATCTGTACAATGGGAATGGTAGTAATCTTTGCCTCATAGCTTGTGAGGATTAAAAAAATAAAATGCTTAATAGAGCACCTGGTGTATAATATATACCGCTATTTTTATCATAGTAAAATATGTAACATAAAATTTACCATTTTAATCATTTTGAAGTGTTCAGTCTTGTGACTTAAAGTACTTTCACATTGTTGTGCAACCATTACCATTCATCTCCAGAATGTTTCCATTGTCCTATATTAAAATTATGTATCCATTAAGCAATAACCCGTCCCCTTCTCCCAGCCCCATGACAACCACCATTCTACTTTCTATCACTATGAATTTGACTTCTATACATATTTCATGTAAGTGAAATCATACAATATTTGTTCTTTTGCAACTGGGTTTTCACTAACATCATGTCTTCAAGGTACACCCATGGTGTAGCATGTGTCAGAATTTCCTTCTTTCTTAAAGCTGAATGATATAGTCGATTGTATTAATTCCCACACAGTATTATAATAGTTTTATTCCAGCCACTGAAAAAGTGAGACTTCATTTACTTACTGGCCAAGACACAGCTTCAGTACAGGATCAGCATCTCTACTACTCATATAGTAAGAAATGCAGGCTTATGACTTTGGAGTAAAACCCTAGGATCACTTTTGAGTCCTTTTCTCCAGTGTTTATTATAAAGTCCCAGTTAGGATATGTCTTTCTTCAAAGTACAGAATGTCTGTATTCAGAGCAGCAAGACAAACATTTCTGTGCTCTAATATGCAGGCAAGGGGAGATTTGGAGAGTAGTAGTAGGGAAATTTTAGGAAAAGAAATCTGAAATCTAGTTTTAGAACAAAAACAAGAACACAAGAATGAGGAGGAAGAGAAGATAGGAAGAACAGGGCAAGCTATGGGAACAGATTGTATATCCAAAGATGGTGACACGGATGTAGCTCCCATCTCCTATGCTCTTGCAATGTGGTGCTGACATTCCTCCACCAAGAGGTGGGGGGCTACTACCCCACCCATCAATCTGGGCAGGACTTTGTAAATGCCTCAGCTGGTAGAATATGATGAGAATAGCTGGATGTGACTTCTGAGCCTTGGTCAAACAAAAGCCTTACGTGTTTTACTTTGGATCACTCAGGCAGCCTCCTGGAGAGGCATGAGGCCCCCAACCTAGAGCCAGCCCAGACCTGCCAGACAAGTCAGCCACCTTGGAAGTGCACGTTCCAGCCACACTCAAGCCTTCCAGTTTTCAGATGGCTGCAAAGCCAGTGGACATAGTGCTACAACCTTATGAGACTCCAAGCAAGAACCACCCAGTTGAACTCTTCTCAAACTAACAAAACCATGAAAAATAAGAAATAATTATTGTTGATTTAATCCACTAAGTTTTGGGGTATGTTGTTATACAGCAATTGATAACTAACATGGTTACCTACTCTCACCATTCATTGGCACACAACAGTGGGCATGGAGAAAAGTTGCCCATCTTGGGCAATTTATGTTCCAATGGTGTTGCTTTTGGGTTGGCCCAGCTGAGATGAAGCATTCTCTTTGGTGTTAGCTTTGAATGTCCAGCCCGGTCACCCACTGCTGGTACGGTACACAGGGAGAAAGAAGGAAATGTGAATGACATACCTTCTGAGACCAGCTCTTTCTTGCAGCTCAGAACAAATATTGTACTTGGGCAGTAATGCAAGTTAGAAATGACTCGTGTGTTTCACATTAGAGTACTGGGGATGCAGTCCTAAAAGCCTCCTGGAAACAAATCTGCAATGCACGCCAGCCACACATGAAACCAAGGTTTATTAAAAGACTCTTAACATATTTACAGCTGGAAGCCATGAATGCAGTTCTCTGCAAATCCCAAAAAATAGAGTTCTATCCCTTAAAACAAATTAACAGAGGTGTCAACAGGTTAGGATAAATATAATCTATCACAGAGATAGAATTCTTTGAATAAACAATCTACCTTTTCTAACCAATATATATTATGTACAAAAATACACTTGATGTGGTGACCAAGTAGTGTCAAGGAGGAAAATATATATATATATACAGCCCCACATATTTTCATTATTTACAAATCAATATTGGTTCCTTCAGCTTTTCTTTTTAAAAATAAATATTTCATTTGGTTGCAAATGACATTTACATATTCAACTAGTGAGCATTTCTTAGCTTTGACAAAATTAAATATGCAAACAAAGTAGAAACATATATTTTTAAAAATTTAAAGGGAAAAAAATACCTGAATCCAATTAGCTTATTACATTAAAAAATATCCAAGAGCATGTAATGTAAGGTTTCATGTGTTTAAAGTGCCTTCTCATTTCTCAAAATGTTTTCATTATTGCTTAAAATCCTTTAAGACTATATCTACATATTGGCCTAATATTTAATTAAACAGAAAAGCCAGTGTTTTTCCAGGTCAAGTTGTTGACTATTTAGGACATGCTTATACTTTCTTTCTAAGTGCTTTCAAGAGTGTAACAGTTACTGTTGGTCTGAAAATAACCACAAATTGTCAACATCCTGATCTAGATTCGTGTAGACGTTTGAATCATGAGTAGTAAAAACAGAGTGGCAATAAAAAGCCTGGTTCAAAATGTTTGCAAAGAATTAAGTTAATTTGTCCAGCAGCACAGAAAAGTTGCTTGATTCAGACATTTAGTGCGATGCATCACTGCTAGTGACTTGGACTGATGTATCATTTATCAGAAGAATGGTCCCCAATTAGACAACTTTAAAGTAAAATCTGAGAAATTGAGAAGGACTAGCACCCTCCCACAACCTTCCTAAAATAAAGTAGAATAAAATGAGAAAGAAATGTATTTTCCATCTCTTTTATGGATTTTTCCCTCTTTGCCTAAGTGATGAGGTGATGCTGACATTAGCGAGAGGCAGTCACGGCACCACGTCTCACTTGGTGACAGTGGAGTGCCCTGTCCAAAGGGCTTGGGGAGGAAACGGGAGCAGGGCTGAGAGGAGGGCCTGGGAGCTCAGGGACATGGCTGGCTGGCTGCAAGGGAGGTTGGTGAGAAGAGTGGGGTCCTGGAGAAACTGTAAAGGTAAACTGAGGAAGAAAGACCTGAGGGTTGTGACTGACTGGGAAGCTGAAGCAGCAGTATTGAAAGGAGAAAGTGAAAGGAAGTAGAGGATAGAATGGTGCTTGGACAGGCATGGAGAGAACAGGAAGGTCCACGGACAGCACCCTCCCTGGAAATGAACCCGAAAAGTGATGGAGTTTCCATGGGGTACCTGCTCTTCCAGCACATGTCAGGCACTGACCAATGAGATGCCAGGCACTCCCACTGGCCTCCTACAGACGCCATGAGTTTCCACGGAAAGGCTGCCCATGATACAAGCATGGCAAAAATCAGCTCCCTAACAATGCATTATTATATCAGCAAACATTGCACCCTGGCCTTCTTGAAAACTTCCTTCTCCCCTGTCTCCTTTATCCTGTCACCTGCCATGTCAGAAGGCCAAGTAAAGATGTATAACTGCATGTATCAAATGCATCTTAGGAAGCAGTGTCCAGGATCCAGGGTGTCACTAAGAAAATTAAACCCTAAAGGACTTGAAATAATTTACATTTCTGTTAGGCCTGATTCCTATTAGGATGCTAACTGATTTCACTTATGTTCTGGGCATGCAGACTGGAGCTGACGTGCAGGCCAAAGCACGACCCGTTAAATCAAAGTCCAAGGGCACCCGGCTTCACACACTAGTATAAATTAAAATTCAATGAAGAGGAATAGACTGTGATGAAACAATGACATTTTCTCTGAAGAGTCTTACAAAGTATTCAAATCTAAAAGTTTCTGCCTTTTTAGGATTATCTTAGATGGTTTCCTTAAAGGGAACTCCTTTTTTCTTAATGCTTACATATTTCAAACATTATTATATTATTTGTGTCTTGAGAAATTGGAGAATTGTGGAATCATAAAATTATTTGGAATAGAGCCAATCCTTTGGTAGACCCATTTGTTGCCTATGGGTCACCATGGGAACATAGGAGAACTGTCACTAGACATTCCCCTCATCAATTTGTTTCCAAGGAACTGGAGGACTTCGGAGGATTATACAGAACGCAGTGTCAGTGGGGCTGGGACCACCTTCTTTAGGCCCCGGAGAACAGATGTGAAGAAATAAGTTTACAACTAGGGATAACCAAGAAGAAAGGAAAAAAATGAGCTACTTATACATAGTTCACTCAAACCCACCTAAATGTAGGGATTTTGAATCTCCTGGTCTCTTGCTGGGAAGGGTAGTACAACTGTTGTATGTTGTACACCCCTTTTCATACATCTCACAGAGAGGAACCTGGCATTAAAAATCCATCCCAAGAGTTCCAAGAGAGTGTTCATTCCAGAACACATCTCTTGTCCATGCTGGGGGGGACATAGAGAGTAACTTCCCTGTCCACTTAGTGGTCTGTGGGACTAGCCTTTCATTTTGGAAAGTTGATCCAGATGAATAAATAAAAATGGATTTGCTTCATGAGACAAGAATGGAAGCAAGCCCTGGTGAGAACAATAAAGGCGAGAAGGTGCAATGTTGCCAAAGATGTCGACAGGCCCCTGAGAAGGCACGCCTGAAAACCTTCGATTGCTTACTTGATATACCAACTCTAAGACAACACATTGCAGCTCACACTATATGGGGGGAGAAATACTCTCTCTTTTAAGACATTCTTACAGTTTCAAAGACAGAGGGCCCCTTGGTGTGGGCACAAGAACTCAGGGAAATGCTCAGCCTGCAAGACAGCCCAGGTGTGGTGAGAGGGTGCTGACTCCATGGAGAACACCGAATTCTGTGAGGTGGATTTCTGTTGGAAACTATGGGCTCAGCTGCACTTTGCTGGCTCAATATTATCAAATTTCATGTAGAGCATTAAAAAAAAATTAGTCCACAGAAGTATGTAGATCAGCTTTTAGGCAAAGAGACAGACTGTTGATTCTTAGTATATTTAAGATTAAAAAATAGAAATTTGTATAGGCATAGATGGAACAGAAAAATAACTTAATGGCATTCACTACCACTTTCATATAAAAAATTGAGATTGTCTTCTCCAGATCATAGCATGGTTTCATAACTATGTACTTTGTAGATGTAACCTGTAGGTCTGCCCTGCAGTTTACTGTGGAGTTCTTTGGAGCTTTTGACTGAAGTGAAGCTTCATACCAGAGAAGGGAAGGATGAGAAGGAAAAGTCCTCTAGGTCACTGTCTGTCATTAGGGTGACTGGGAGAGGGGCCGGGCTAGAGGGGAAATGAATCCAATAAGCTCCATTTGAGGATAGTGGACCTACTGAACGATGCTTGATTTATTTCCTTAACCACTTTGTTAGTAAACTGAACGGGAGCTTTGAGAGCTAGCTAGCTGCCATTTTAATATCTTCACATTTCTAAGTTGTCATCTATACAAATTTCCCAAATGCTAAGTTTTTATCAGGTTGATTAAGAGTCTTGGAACAAATAAGGCTACTGAACTGGCTTCAAGTTTGACATTAAAACACTCTTGAATTCACTACTTTCCAGCAAAGTGTTCAACTGGGAGGTTTTGGTACCTTGCCCACTCCTTGGGAGGGGAAATTAAGAATTATGAAACTAACATTCAGTGACTCTAACAAGGTGTCAACAACTGATGGGTGTGCAGAAATGACACAAAATGGGCATCTCAGCCACAAAACAGGTGTGTAACGGAGCCTAGTTATGCTTGGATTCAATTGCTCATGGAGTTTAAATACCGTTACGGGGGTGGGGGGGTATCTAAAGGAGTCATATATGCTGAGGCCTGTTTCTAAAGGCGCTTTTCTTTAAGTGCTTCAGTGATAGAGAATGTTCCAAGCAGCTGGACTGCTTCTCTCTATAGCTGGAAAATGGAAATGTGTCCAATAAGTTATTTGCATTTTTGAAAGACTGAAAACTATTCATGCTTTTCAAATACTAAGTACTATTAGTTTGGCTGCATAAACAATGTTTCTCTTGTGCTGCAGATTTCTTTATGATGATAAAGTAGCTGACATGAATGTAAGTTCATTTCTTCACTCATCCACTCTCCTTGGTTGTATATTCCTGAAGATACAATACCTAATATATGAAATTGGCATACATGGTCTTCTGGATGTTCAACACATTTATAAACAGCTTTAGAGGACCCAAGTAAGGAAATTTTAGGAGTCCTTTACTTCTCCCTCTATATCACACCACTTCTCCTCTATGTGGCTTTTCAAAAATAAACTGTTCAGGGCATTCCTTGACTCTGTGGAATCCACAGTCTAAAAACTTCCTGGTTTAGGTTAAAGTTTCAAGAAGTCAGTAGACAGCTCTTTCTTTGTTCCCACAAATGTTCAAATTCATATGCCCCTGGGACTACTATGACATGGGATTTCACAGTGTGGACATTTTTGTTGTGTGTGTGTGTGTGATTCAAGAACTAATAAACTATTTTCTTGATTACCAAATCTGTGGATAACTTCTCTTTCCCTTCAAGATTTTGGCTATTTTTTTTTCAGATTAGAACAGGCAGGATCAAAGAAAAATGAAGCTCAAATCTAAGAGAATTTTTGGTAGCAATTTTTAAAGACAATTTAACCTATGTCATAAAACCATACATTCGATATTTGGATCAGATCTTTGGGGGAAAAAAAAGCTGTATTTTCTGGACTTCTTTCCTTTTCTTGGCACAGAGAGCCCGAAATTGGTTTTATCTTTGTTTGAGGAGAGGGGAGTCCTACAAAACAGACCAAATGAGATCTCAGGGAGTGAAGAAGATACCCTCTCCACATTAGTCTGCTTACTGGGAAAGAGCCTGTAGGTCTGCCCTGCTAATTTGCCTTCATATGCAGCCCAGGAACTGCTTGCTAGCTGCTGTAGGCAACAGCCTGTGCCATGATACCAGGCAAGGGAGAAGTAGAAATAGAAATGAGGAGATATGATGTTTAAGAATGCAAGAATATAATTAAAATAAAAAATCTCCCATTGCAGGTGGTATCATCTGTGGATAGTCATGCAATCCCAGGCCAACAGGCAACTCTTTGGCACTTACATCTCCTCTGCTACATCTGATCGTGGTCCTTATAAGAACCATATCAACAACTTCTTTATCATGTAGGAGGTTTCCAATACTGCAACAGAATTTTGTATCTTCTTTCAGTTTCTTCACCAGCAGCATATGAGCTTTTCATTAAGAAATGCCTTCCTCACAGTACTTAGGAACAAAGGAGGTGCCTAAGGTAAGCTTAGCAGGTGCGTGGCCTCTACTGCCCTTACTGTGGGAAAGGGGATTGGAGTCCAGCACCCAATCTGGCACGCAGTTCCTCAACCATGCTGCCATTTTTTTTTTTTTGGCTAGAACCTCTAAAGATGTAATAGCACCACTGTGTTTCCTTATTCTGCTTCTCAGATTTCAGAAACTTTTTCTCTATAATTCCTAGGTACTTGTAATGAGCATTTGAAGAGACATCGTAGATGTCAACTCAAGGATTTAAAAGGCACCTGCTGGGCAGCAGGTCCATCACCTGTGACCCTTGGGCCTCCACCATCATCAAATTCATCCGTTTCTGCTTGGCCACACTTTGCCCTTTCCACCCTGGCTCCCTGTAAGCTGCCTCTTCTTGGGTTAAAACCCACGTAGCATACCTCCTTCTAACCTAATCTTTGACACCTCACAAGCCTGATACTTTTTACCTAATGTGTTTATATCATGTATAATACATGATATACTTGTGTGCCCAATGATTACTGCCAGTTACATAGGCAAGTATTTGAACGGCTCTTCAATTGTGTCCACAGATTGAATGAATCTTGGCTAGGAAGAGACCATGCCATTTTTAAGTTAAGGTTTCTCAGACTCTGTTCAGTAAGTCGGACATCACTGTCTGCTTAAACACGGAATAGCAATACCAGCCACTCTCCTTCTGGTTTATCAAGGGCTGTGCTTAGAACAGCCCTTTAAACTAAGCTTGCCTAAAGTACTCAAGCTGCTAAGTGGTACCCCAACTACTTCCTCTCCGTGAAAAATTGAGAGATACTGTTGCATTAATCTTAAGTACATTTTAAAGGGATCATCTTTAAGGGCCTTCAGGTTATTGTAGATGGCCCACTTTGAAAAATTCTTGTGAAGTTTTAATGAACATCACCTTAAATTAGAAATGAAGGCTATGCAGTGCAGCGCCAGAGCGGACTTGGGAGGTGGCATCCAGACACGCGATACAGGGCTCAAGCTGGGTGAGAATAATGGAGATTTCTTCCCGGGCAACTCAATATACATACGACATACGGCATTTTACTGATCTTATGAAATGACTAGGTTTCCCCATCCAAGGAAGGCAAATTGCATTCACTCTTTAGAAATGGGTATTTGCCAATTTCCAGTCTATCCACTAGGATAAAATCCAACTTGGGCTGCATTTGTCAAACTCTCAAATGTTTCCACTCATTTTTCTTCAGCATCGGTCCCTGAGAGCATATTCTTGCAGGGCTCTGTGGCCAAAGTGGCAGTCCTGCTTACCTTCAGCGACTTTCTTGTGAGCATCCCACTTAGAAGGCTGAAGTGGACTCCAGCGACTCCGGTGGAAGCCACCTGCTCCTTCCCCGCCAAGTCCACAAGGCCCACAAGGACGGACCCTTAGAGGGTCTCTCACTGAACTTGGAGTCGCCAAGGCATGGGCCACACAGGCACTCCGCTTTCACACAGTAATCCTAGAAGGTATGCCTGGGGGCACAGGATGCCTGTAACTGAAATTTGTTTTAAATTGATGAATTTTTAGGTTTTCTTCACAGTTCAGTGAAAATAAAGAGTATAAGAAAGCAGTATGAAAAGCTTCTTGCTCACAAGCAACTTCTGTTACTCATGTAAGTTCCTTACTGGCTTTTCTGTTTTGTCTGTCTTATCCTTTTATTTTGAATTGGAAAAAAAAAAAAAAGAAAACCCAACAAACCCAACCATGCTACCACATTCTTCTCTTTTAAATTGTTAGAAACGGTGATTAGCGCCTGCGTGAATATGGCTTCTGTGACTTAATTTGATCTGCACTGTGCAGACTTGATTCCCAAGAGGGGCTTTATACTAGGATATGGATATGGTGCTGCTTTAATTAGCTGACTCTGTAAGGGGGTCCCCATGGGGCTGATGACTGGCAAGCAGTCCTGGGCAGACACTCAGGTGTCTGGTAAGTTGAGAGGTTCTGGGAAGCTGGGGCAAGCAGCAGGCCATACACAGCAGCTGGCTTAGGAAGGGTTTAAGATTTTTGCTCATCTCTGGGCCGCCCTCTCCACCAATCAGAGTAGAAAGCTTGGCTCTCTCCCCCTTCAAGGCCCAAACCTGATGGACTTTGATCTTCTTCTCAATTTTCCCCAGGCCCCCATGTCCCCCTTCACAAGACAGATGCACAGTGGTGGCTTAAGGAAAAAATGTCAGGGGAGAGGTCCAAGGTGGTGTCCTCTGTGACTCAAAGGGCAGTAGTTGTAAGGCTCCCAGGTCAGAAAAAGCTGCCTATGCATGATGCCCACTCAAAGTTTCGTATTAATATAATCACTTCTTTCCACTTTGATGTAAAGAACTTTCTTTTCTGCCCTTAATTTTTTGACGTCCAATACTCTTACTTTGCCCTATGTCACTTGCTGTCAGTTAAGATCATGCTAAAAGGCTATAAAGTAGCACTTGCTCTCCTGTGTGGAAACTACCTCGTGAAGTTGGTGGAAGAGATCCAGCCACACACAGTCCCTGAACATGACACAGAGGTCAGGGGCATGTGAACGTGGCACTGCCCACTCACCAGTGGTCTGAGATGTGAGAGGTGCTTCGTCACTGAGTCACCTGCCAAAGCTCAGGTGCTTTGATCCCAAATCTGTCCCTGCTCAGGGTCTCATTTAATGGCTGACGTCAACTCCCTGTATCATCATCCATTCCCCAGGATGAAGTTTATGGCTATTTAACCCTCTCTCCACCCATGTATAATTCCATATTCTGTCCTTTCTGTTACATAAACAACAAAATAAACACTTCTCTAGTCTGTGAAATATGTAGTCTTGGACCTCTTAAAAAATAGTTTTGGTAAGCCTCAACATTTTTGGCGGGAAAGATGCTCCAGGATCTTGCTGCAATAGCTTCCAAATTAAGATCAATAAGAAAACCAGACGTCTGTAAAGACGAAGGCTTGAACTCTCTCAAGGCAACCATCATGAAAGACCCTTCTCTTCTTCTGTCACAAGTTTACATATGCCAAACTTAGAAATCTTGAAATCTAAGTTAGAAAGTTTGAAATCTCCACTTTTAAAATAGTTTGGAAAATCTTGGTAATTCTTCTGGTCTTGCAACAGAGCAGACCTTGGACTTCTACAAGAAACAATTATCAAATACTCCTGCAATGTCCCCTTAGACAGCTTCTCTCTGTTCCTGTGGCTTGACAAAGGACTTCTTTAAGGCACAGGGCGCTCACTGTAGATGACCTCAGAAAGAGATGAGCAAAACAAACATTTAGGAAATGGATCTTCCATGAATTTTTTGCAGCACTGGTGTTGCACAGGATTGTGCAAGGTACTACATCTCATTGTCAGCGTTTCCAAGTCTCTGGCTTAGCTGGTGGTCACACTGGCTTCCTTCTGACGTAGTCTTTCTTTCTGTTGTTTGAGGAAAAAAATGTTTGTCATCACTCCTTTTCCTAATTTTTCATCTTTCTCAAATTTTCATAAATGTCTCATGTGTTGGTCTAGAATGCTGAATAGAGTTGTACCAAGCACCCTAGAATTGAGAGTATCTCTATCCTTCTTTACCTGAAACTTTAGGTACCAACCTCCTCCAAACTATCACCACCCTCACCCTCCAAAAAGCAAACAAAATGAATAACCAGCTAATCACCAACTGTATTCATTAAAATGCTGTCCTTTACTATGCCAGGCTGCTCTGTTCTATTCTCTTCTTCTGTGACAAAGGTCTTAGCTTTGAAGTGTTACTCCAAGACTCCTCCTATCCCCAAGCTCAGCCCGCTGATGGAGTTAGGGAATGCCCAGAAATAGTTTCTAGGGAGTCTAGTATGAAAAATCACTGTTTTCAAGTCGAATGTATCTGTGCATGATCAACCTGGCAGAACTGAACAAACACTGTGCAGAATGGAAGGTGACAAGACTGAGTTCATGCAGCATGGCCGAAGCTCCCATTCTGCCGTGGATGCTCTGCTCTGCTCGCCCTGGGCTTGCTTCCCAGGGACAGCCTTCTAAGGAGGAAGGACATGGATTCTGCTGGTGAGGTGTAAAAGTAAACAGAGACCCTCACTGTTTCTCGGACTTTAAAGAAGGAAATATATTAAGCACAGTAAGGAGGAGGGTGTCTGCTTTCTGTGGGGGTGGGGGGCAATTAGAAGGCTAAAAAAGAAATGGGAGAAGTACACTCCCTTGTAAAAAGCAATGTGGAGAGAACAGACCTCAGCTGCTTGTGATCTGTGAGATGTGGCGGTGAATTATTAAATCGGCCTAAATGTGAAGCTAAGATGGTGACTTTTGACCACACATCTTGGTTTGGATTCCATCCCTGACTTGAGAAATTGAATCAGGAATCAGTTTACCCGTCCTTCCCTCATTCCCACCAAAACAAACAACCAACCAACCAAAGAAACAACCCTAATGAGCTGGGGCTCACCGCTGAGAGAGCCGGCTCACAGTGGGATTATCTACCAAAGAATGCCACAGCAGACCCACCGTTTCCCCATTTGTCTGTGGGGCTGAGTGCATACTCTCTGCCCCACAAAACAAGGTCTGGCTGTAAAAGTTAGTATAAAGGCCCAAATTAGAGGCCTGGAGAAAGGGACAGAGGTCGATGAAGGAGGAGGACAAAAATCAGGGCCCACTGCCACTGAAAATCAAACCAATGAGTGTAATGCATATATCATCAAATGGGCAGAAACGATCTGGGGTTAGCACTATTTTCTGCATCTCAATTTTCCCTGTTATCAAGAGAGAATAATCCCTGCCCCTTTCTTGATATGGGAAAAGGAGCTGACAAGGGTAAAAAGGCTTGAACATTTTGGGAGAGAGGTGCTTTGAGCTGAAGGGGGACAGCGGGGTGGCAGTGGAAGGCTGTGAAATGGTGACTGAATTTGGTTTTTCAGGAAATGATCTTTGTTGGGTTTGCTGAGAATATACATGAAGCTGTGTTTTGTTCCTTATGCCCTGCCCCTGGTATGCTTTCTTACATCATGCTGCTCTGGGATGTGAACCGAGAATCTAGGTATTACTCATTCCTCTAAGCTTTATCCTTTAAAGTCAAACACACTCCTGAGTGCAAACTCCTCAGATATAATGAAAGATCTTGCAGTTATGTCGAAAAATACACTCACCAGACTAGTTGTGGGATTTATCTTCTTTGTCTCCACTTTCTTCTCTGATGTCAACTTGCTGACTGATTCCTGAGCCATTTTCAATCTGAAATCAAAATCAGGAGCGGGAAGAGGAGAGGAAGACAAGAAGAGAGGAGGAGAAAGAAGAAGGAAGAGGCCAGGTTAAACAGAAATCTAGGTGCTGTTGAATTAACTGGCAATTTGAAAACGTAAGGAATGGTTTCTCAATGCCTGTCATTATTAAATTCAAACTCTGATTAGGTGGGAAGACATGTCTGCTGTTATCCAATATGAATTTCCTTCACTGACTGAGAGGCTCACCTAGATGACTTTGAACAGTCTGTGTTTTTGAGACCAATGCTGGAGTTGCTTCTGATTGATGGAATGCAGACTGCATGCACAGCACTCTCAGTGCACACTTCAAGGCTCTCTGGCTTTCATCTACTCAACGAATAACATGGAGGCAATTTTGAAAACTGAAGTTTTGAGGAAATATGTGAAAATTACAAATATTTAAATTCAATTCATGTCAAGAAAGTGGAAGGACAATCCACAGGATGGGAGAAAATATTTGTAAATCATACATATGACAATGGATGTACATTCAGAATATATATAAGAACTCCTGTAACTCAAACAGAAAGGCAAATAACCCAATTTAAAAATGAACAATGGAATTGAATACACATCTCTTTAAAGATGACATACAAATGATCAATAAACACATGAAGAGGTGCTCAATACCATTTGTCATTAGAGAAATGCTAAGCAAAACCATGAGCTGTCACTTCGCACCGACTAGGATGGCTAAAATCAAAGAGAAAGACAAGCAGTGTTGGAGGTATGGATGTGGAGGAACTGGAACCCTTACTTGTTGTGGCTACGACTGTAGAGTGGTGTGGTCGCTCTGGCAGTTTCTTAAAATGTTAAACATAGTTACCATATGACCCAGTAATTTCACTGTATAAACTCTCTCTATATGTATATATGTGTCTCCAAGAAAATGAAAATAAATGTTCATACCAAAATTTTCATATGAATTCTTATAGCAAAATTACTCAAAATAAAAAAAAACCAAGAATGGAACCCTCCAGACTTCCATCAGCTAATACATATATAAACAAAATGTGCTATGTCTATACAATAGGATATTATTGGCCATAAAAAGGAATAAAGTGCTGATACATGCTATAACACGGATGATCCTCAAACATCCACACATTATATGATTCCCTTTAGATGAAATGTCCCAAAGAGGCAAATCCACAGGGACAGTAAGTAGATTAGCAATACCAAGGGTTGGGGGCAGAGGACAGTGGGGAGTGACTGCTGAATGGGTAAAAAATTAGCTAATGGTGATGATTGGACATCCTTGTGAATATACTAAAACTACTGAATCATATACTTGAAAGGGTGAATTTTATAGTATGTGAACTATATCATCACATCAGCACATCTTAATAGCCAATTATCAACTGTTACTGAGGATGTGGGGACATGAGAACTGCCAAACAGTGTGACAGCATGTGTAGCTTGGTGCAGCCAGCTGGATTTGGCAATATTAGGTAAAACTGAGAACACCCACAGCCGATGAGCTGGCCATCCCTCTTCTAGGCAGATACCCAAAAGAAACTCTGATAAACAGATACAGGGCTCTCACTGTGGCAACATATGCAATAATGAAAAATTGGAAATAACCCATGATTAGGCTATAGGGTAATGGACAGAGAAAAATAGCAAATAATAATTGTTAATATGCCAGGCACTTTTCTACCTGCTTTATCTGAATTAAACCACTTAATTCTCATGACAATCTTGAGATAGAAACTTTCCCTGTTCCTATTTTATAGGTTTTCAGCACCCTGCAATGCTGCTTACATATTCTCTTCATTTAATGGAATATTGTATAACTGTGAAAAGGAACCTCTAGATCTATGAACTCAGTAAGTACATACATCAGAAACATGACATTGAGAGAGTGAAGAATTCTGCAGAGTGATTCAGTGGCTATCTAGCGTGATGGCCAAATGCTCAGGCCAGACACTGACAGTGGGATTATTCTCAGCCCCACCACTTAGTAGCTATATGGCCCAAGGTACCTCTCTGTGCACCTTGATTTCCTAAAAAAGGGGTAAGAACAGTGCCTGCTACATAGAAACATTGAGAGGATTGACATAGTGCAGCTCCAGGCACAGTGTAATTCCTCACCACACATTCCCTACTATTGTTTCTGTGCATGCAATATACTACACTGTATATACGTTTGTAAATAGTATCTACAAAGCAATACTGTTCACAGATGTGTGTAGGTGTGTACAAAAACAAACATCTATATTTATATACAGACTGGAAAGATACAAGTTTCATGATAGATTTTCATTAAAAAGATGGAAGAAGAGACTGGAATTAGGAGGTAGTACGTCAAATAAAATTTCATTTTTTAATTAAAAAATCTTAAAGGATATATGGCAAAATGTTAACAGTTAATTCTAGGTGGTGGGAATATGGGTGTGTTATATAATCTTTGTTTATTTTATAAATTTCTTCAAAAATATCTTTTAAATATTAAATATTTAAGGAACCACCAACTCACAGACATTTTTCAAAAATGAACATGCTTTTACTTTGGGTCTCAAAAATTTTACACTCAGTCACATATTGTTTCATACTGAAGAAGTGGCTGAGTGCTTCAGCTCTTTGCTAATTTTGTGCTATTTACTTAAAACACACGTTTAGTAATCCAATCTCCTTGCCCACATGCACAAGTTAGTTACAATGAATTCAACATGCTGACTTGTGTATCAGAAAATAAATAAAATAAAAATGACATAAAGATGAGCGATGATTTATAAAATTCAAGAAATACATAATCAAAGCTGCCCTGAGAATGGGCACCTCTCAACACTGACATAGGTCTGAGCACATACCCCATGCTGCCTACTAAACCATTCCATTTGCAGCAATAACTATGGCTGTATGCACACAAGAAAAGAATGCACTAAAAGGATCAAATCCAGGTCAGAGTACATTGGAGACTCTGACTATTAAGGGATTTGCAAACCAAGATGACGGTGCTGTAAATGAGCCCACAGCCTGTAGCATCTACCCTTCTTGGCTTCTCTCCAGCAAGATTTGTTTTCAAAGAGCACACCAATTAGTGACCCTTTAATCCCGATTTCAATGAAATCATTTGGAATTACTATTTCTCTCTGGGCCCCCTACCATTTAGGGAATGTTTTGGGGTGACCTTTTGCTTTCCTAATTCCTTTTCACCTTAGAATTCTGGTCTTTTCTTTCAGACTTGGACTTCTACCATGCTTTTCTCAGCATCTCCTTCCCCAGTTCCCACATCCCTCAGCAGCTCTGCCACCCTCCCCAAGCCCTCTGGATGTCTGTGGTGACAGGGGTGGCTGGGGATGCTGAGGCTGGCGGGGTGGGAGCCAAACTAAGGTCCCATTCTCACTGCAGACCTTTTCCTACCAGGCAGTGGTGTTTCAGCAGCGTACAGGCAGTCATACACACTCCAGCCTTCTAAGGGGGAACGCCCATCTCTGTGATTCTATCCTGCTCTTCTCCAAATGTTCTCATTTAATTATCACATCTTGCTTTCACAGGGCACAACTGAAAATCATAAAGGATCAGGAGAGTGCATAGCTTGGTGTTAAGTAGCTTCGTATCAGGCTTGATTCTAATTAGAACTCTGTCAGTTATTAGAAGACTTGGAGCAAGTTAATCACCTTTTCTAAAGTTTAGTTTCCTTATCTATAAAATGGAGGTTAATATAAACTACATGACATTGTGAAGATTAAATGAATTAATATATGTAAAAGTCTGTATATCTGTTGTATGGCAAGTGGTCAATAAAGGATGACCATTATGGAATCTTCCATCACAGAGATAAAGGATCTTCTTAAAAACATAAGACAATTGTTTCTGATTATCTGTGAAATAAGTGGCACTATTAGGCAATTACAGGCTTGTAGTAATATCATTTAGATGTGTACTGAAAGACAGTGAACTCACCTCAATTTTTCTGATGGGAACACAGATTCTAAAAATCCTATAAAGAAGCTAAACTTCAGTGTAAGTATGACAAAAAATGTCTCAGCTAAATAAATAAAAGAAGCTATTTCAACTCCAAAACAAAGGTTACATCTATTTCCTCATACTTTTTTCCCCTAAGCTTCCTAGAGGTGAGTAGTATAAATAAAATTTAAATTTCAAATAGTAAAACTTCTAAGTATATTTTTTCATATTAACCTTGTTTTTCTGATAACCAAAATACTTGTCCCTTATAGAAAATTGATATATTCATATGTTTAAAAATACTTTCAATTTACTATATATTTAAAAATATAAAGAATGAATAAGACTCATTGGCCATTTTAATCTTTTTCTTAGTAAGTCTACACATAATTGGATCAGATAATGGAAATGAGTATGTGCAAGGCTCTCGGCTAGACTGGAGATACATGAAGGTTAGAGATGGTGGCTGTCATTTTTACTGTGGTATCTCTAGCCCCTAATGTAGAAGCTGGCATGCATATATGCACCATAAATGAAAACTAGAGATCAAAATTGAAAATAATTGTCTACTTTCGAAAAACACAGCTCAGTCGAATTTCTTGAAAATTCTGAGCCCAACAGGCTTCATGGGCTTGTGACCTGTGCCGTTAGTTGGGGCCTCTGGGTTTAATGCTCTCCTGTCACTGTTTTGAAATTCTAAGTTTTCCAACAAGGGTCTCCATAAACTATATACTTGGGCCTGCCTAAGACTTTCTAGGACATTTAAAGTCATTTTACTAATAAAGCGAAATATTTTTCAACCACCTTCTCCCCCTCCGTCCCCCCCAGGGCACCTTTACTACATGTAGAAAAGTAAATTTGGTTGGAGAGAATTGACACCTCCCTCCAAGGGTCATGTATTTCACTGCATTGTGACCAGCTTTAGGACCCCATGTTTTACACTAGACTGAAGCTTCTTAAAAACACAGGATATGGTTTCATTGTCTTTCTTTCCTCCGCCTTTTGCACAGTAATTCATATATGGCAAAGTGACCAATAAACACTGAATAAGCGAATGCA